GGATATCATGTTTGGTAAGGTGAAGGGTCAGAGAAAAAAAGAAAGCCCCCCAGTGAGATGGATTGGCCAAGTGGCAGCATCGATGAACTCCATCATGGCAATGGTAATGATGTTGGCCCAGGATCGAGCACTTTTCTTTCTGCTGTACAGAAGGTCGCTATGAGTCAGTACCAACTTGATGGCACCTAACAACAACAACAAACTGGAAGGGGTGCTGTGAGCCAGAACTTAACAAGAAGATACTACTTTGATACTTTACCAAGTGGTGTGGCCAGTTGCACAGATCTTTCCTTTTGCGTATTATAATATATTGCCTCTTCATAACAACCAAAACTGGTTAAATACAATCCCTTAGGAGTCCTGGTGTGCTGTGGGTCAGTGCACTGGACTGCAGAGTCGGTTTAAACTGCAAGGTCAGCAGTTCAAGCTCATCAGTCGCTCCTTGGAAACCCTATACAGGGTCAGTATAGGTTGGAACCGAATCAATGGCACTTAACAACTATCCCTTAATGGCACTTTAAAGGAGCTCATGGGATGCCACAGTTGCAGTGCTCATCAAAGGTTGATGGCTCAAAGCCACCAATCGCTCTGTGGGAGAGTCTGCTTCCATAAAAATTAGTCTTCCATAAAAATTGTCCTTACAGGACAATTCTACTCTGCTCTATAGAGTCGTTATGAGACACAATCCACTGGACAGCAGTTGCTTGAACTTCACTGTCAACTTAAACCAATGTTGAAAAATAGGAACCAGAACGTTAGCAGCAGCATCGTTTCACCTACATTGGTGGGATTTGGTATATTCAACCATGCTCTGATGCTTCCTTCTCTGGTTGTGTCAGTTTAAATCATCTTCTTGTTGCTGTAAAATGCTGTCGAGTCAGTTCAGACTCATAGTGACCCTGCATAGGGTTTCCAAGAAGTGGTGGTGGGTTTGAACCGTCAACCTTACAGTTAGCAAGCAGTCCAGTGTTTTTCCTACAGCACCCCACTGTTCAGTGCCGTCTAGTCCGTTCTGTATGGTGGTGGTGGTTATGTGATGTGGAGTCGGTTCTGACTCATAGCGACCCTGTATTTGTTGTTGTTAGGTACCATCGAGTCGGTACCGACCCAGCAACCCTATGCACAGCAGAACGAAACACTGTCCGATCCTGGGCCAACCTCACAATTGTTGCCATGCTTGAGTCCATCGATGCTGCCACTTGGCCAGGCCATCTCGTTGAGGGTCTTCCTCTTTTTCTCTGAGCCTCCACCTTTCAAACATGATATTCTTCTCCAGAGACTGGTCCCTCCTGACAAAATTTCTGAAGTATGAGAGATGAAGTTTGTCCATCTTGGCCTCCAAGGAGCACTGTGGCTGCACTTCTTCCAACACAGATCTGTTGGTTCTTTTGGCAGCCCATGGTACTTTCAATATTCTCCTCCAACACCATATCTCAAAAATATCAATTCTTTGAAGGTCTTCTTTATTCACTGTCCAGCTTTCTCATGCATATGAGGTTATTGAAAATACATGGCAACCCTGTATAGGGACCTCTTAAATCTTCATTCACGCTAATTTCACACTCATATTTCTCAGAAATGAGCAATGTTCGAAGTCTTATAAAGTGGCTAAGAGAATTGGGAGGAGTTAAAAAACCTGGTGTCCAGTCCCACCCAAGCCTGCCAAGTTTGAGGATTGAAGAGGATTGAGCGTAGCCACAGATGCTTTGAGCCTGCGTTGCCTCAGCTGTAGGACATGGGATCATAATTAGAGAATACCAACAGAAGGCTTCCCGAGTTCACTCCGGCGCCCAGCCAGCCTTCAGGCCGCCCTGACCACCCACCCACCGGTTCCCCGCCCACCACCGTCCTCGTTGTCAATGCCCCTCACAATGAC